CTGTCTTTTAGAAATTTTAGGTCCTTTATTATGTAGCAAATTTTTTGTGAATATTTCTATGTGATTTTTGATGTCCTTCTCCTTGTCTTTAAATAGAGGCGACTCACACTCCCGATATAGTTCTTTAATCTCATTGTCAATTATTCTTGATTCCATATTATAATGTTCCATCAATATCGACATCATGTTTAACGAGCATTGTTGTAAGTTTAATTCCCATTTCATTTTAAGATCTTTATCAATTTTTGCCATGGTGGGAAAGATTTGTACGCTGAGTCCCCAGTAAGCAATATTTTCCTTGGTGTACCGTTCAAAATATTTGATATGCCAGCACACCAGGGACTTCTTCTCTAGTAATCTTTTCAATTTAATAACCAAGGTGTTAATCTCCAGTTTAGTAGAAGTCTGGCATGGGAAATTAGATTGAATTTTGGAGTTTGGAGTTCATCCCAGGCATTGCCACAGAAATTCGTCATGTCTGTGTAGCACCTTGCTAAAAAGGAGTGCTAGATCATATATATAGTCTATGTTCAGTTCAACTGTGACAGAACAATCTGTGAAGCTGTGTCTGCCTGTGGGTGGGTGTGTTACCACACAGGGCAGAACAGCCAATGAGGATTGCTTTGGGCATTTATGTCTTCCAGCCAATCACTGCAGGACAGTAACAGTGATGCATGCTGGGAGAGGATATAAATGTGGAGTGTGGCTGATGCAACGCTCTCTTCCTCTTCCCCTCTCCAGGGCCCTTCTGGCCTGGGGAGGATGCCTGCTGCTGAAGAGATAGACTGGACTAGGCCTGAGCTGGGGCCTAGGCCTGGACACTGGGGCCTGAGCCTGGAGGCCCAGTGGTCAGCCACTCATGTCTGAGTTGAACCTGAACAAGACCCTTGACAGTACTGCTTGCCAGAAGTTCTCCACACAGATTGCCTGTATGGCTTAAAGGTCCAAGTCTGTGGTGGCAGCAGTTACTTTGCTCTGATTCAAATACAAGGAGTCTACCTTTCATGCTGGATGTGCCTGACCCTCTTCCCTCTCTCCCTGGAGTTACAGCAATAAAGAGAATCATCTTGGAGGTATTGTCTGGACTTCAATCTGTCGGTAACCACTGGAAGTGGTAAGTGCTATTGGGGCAGCCATGTGTTTGTTTTAATAATCCCCTAGACAGGCTATGGAAGACCCGATCATTTCAGCGGCTCCTTCGGGGGTGAGCGCTACATCTGTCTAAGAAAAACACCTCTCCGTCCTGACAATATTTAACAAAGGCTTGAAAAAACTAAATAAGAAAATATATATCACAAAACCCTATATATACACTATGTTGCCAAATGTATTGGGACACCTGCTTTACATGCACATGAACTCTAATGGCATCCTAGTCTTAGTCCGTAGGGTTCAGTATTGGGTTGGCTCCGCCCTTTCCCACTATAACAGCTTCAACTCTACTGGGAAGGCATCCACAAGGTTTAGGAGTGTGTCTATGGGAATGTTGGACCGTTTGTGAGGTCAGGTACTGATGTTGGAGGAGAAGGCCGGGCTTGCAGGACCGGGTACCACCTATATGGATCTCTACATAACTGGAGCTGCTTACGCAATAAATAGAATAGAATGTTACCAGACTCTTTGTCACTCGTGTCTCTTCTCAGCACTATGCTATGGTGTCAGAATTGATACAACCATGGCCAAACTCGCAGGCTCCCTGGGTGCTCTGGACGTTCTATAGCTTTGCTGGGTCTGAGCTTCTCCTAATTGGCGATCCAGCAGCATAACCCCTGACTAATTTATTAGTATACAGGATTTATATAACGCCAACAGTTTGTGCAGCGCTTAACAATATAAGGAAGACATTACAATCACAATACAAGTCAAGACAAGATGGTAAGGAGGGCCCTGCCCCTGAGGGCTTACAATCTAAAAGGGAGGGGCAAGGGATCCATGAGGAGGGAGCTGTGTGGGGATGCATTGCTTGAAAACGTGATGGTACAGTGGTTAGGTTAATGTGCCCCCCATCTATTTCTATATCCCTGTGATGTGCCCCTTAACATCCGAACTGTCTCGCCCGCTCATGGTCGACTTTGAATACATGTACAACCGCTAGAGATGGTAAAGCAATCTCATTTCTTTTACTTTATGTATTGACAACCATGTTACGTTGTTATTTTGTGTTCTTTCATTTGGTTCTTACTGCTGACCAGAATGGAGACATTCCCTTTAACAATCTAGTAATCCAACTTTGTCCCCATAAGTCATTGATCTGTATGTACCCTTATTCTCCGTGCTCGTCCCTGAGTGGACTTTCACAACGAGTGCCGACAACTCTTATACCGCTACATAGCGGCACTCCCGCGCCTGTTCAGTTGAAGAGTGGCAGCCTGGCCAGCTGAGCCCTCACTGGAACAGACAGTAGTTTTTACTTCCAATGCACACCTGTTTTTTCACAAGTGCCCTACAATTGCCTCTACCATCCCTCCTCCATTATAAAGGGACTAAATAGGAGCCGTCAAGTCTCCGACCATATCCACACAGACCAGCCGCATGAGCCGCTTTTGCGATCTAAGCCGACAACATCATCCACTCTCCATCGGCAAGATAACAGCTCGTCCATCTAAAAGTGAGTCCCTATTTGCAGACACCATTGAAAGGATTATAATCTGTTGTAATAATATAAATCCCTGGGTTGTAGCACTCCTCCTTTTTTTGCTGTTTTACATTTGTCCACAGGGTACCTCTCCCTGGCTAAGTAGCTCGCTCACGCAAACCCGCTTCCAGTCCTCCCTCCGGTAGTGCGCCCGCCATCTTTCCTGTTTTTACCTTATTATAATACCATGATTGTATTATTGTGTATTCAATAAAAATTACATGGACAAAAAAAAAAAAGAATTGATAGAACGGGAAAGATCTACATAAACAGCAGCTAATGCTAAGTCACTGTCTGACCGCAGCTCCATAAGGAGATTACATTGCACGCGATTAACGATTTTGCAAAGCAATTTAGCATCGCCGATGACAGGTAAATCAGTTCATTATGGGTTATTATTGAAGAAGGAGATAATCATAAACAAGGTAAAAAGTTCACTGCACTTCATCTTATGATAATGGATAGCTATGTATAGCTATATAGTAAATGGTTAACCTTAGTGTAAAGCATCAGTACTTTTCTACTGTACTTATCCCCAGACATAAGTGAGCTGGAGCAAGAGGAAACTTGTGTAAACCCTGTAGAGATCCAATCAAATAATGCCTCTGTATTAGTAATCTGCCATCTTCCATGTTACAAAACACAAAGAGAGGGGCGCCTTTCCTGGTGCAAATCAATTTATTCAACAGTGGTAAAAAATGAACTAGCAGGTACTCACAAGTAGAATGACAACAGGCTGTAGGACAGTAAAAAGACCGGAGCAGTGGAGGGATCCGTATGATACGTCCTGTGTACAGATCAGTGAAGTGTCGACACGTTTCCGGGGGGCACGCCCCCTTCTTCAGAAGAAGAGTGCGTGCCCCAGAAACGCGTCGACACTTCACTGAGGGGGCACCACCCTTCCGCCTCAGAATTCGGGGAGCCTTACAGTTTGCGTTCCAGTGCGTTCCAGGAGCTTACCGTGCTAGACCGCCCTGGAGATTGGTGTGAACAGGCCCTAAATACTGAAATGGCCTAGACAGGAATGGGGTTTAGCATTTTGGGCTTCAAGTGGTTAACAGAGATGGGGACTGAGGCCATGTGTCAATGGGCAAATGCAGCATGCTTTCAAACTGATCTTGAGGCGCAATGTACTTGAGACAGCTGAGCTTGTAATTGTAGTTTTATCACTCCAATGCACACACAAATGTAAATTTAGGGATATACCTTGATATTTCTATGCATATATTAGGGATGCACAGATACCGTTTTTTTGGTATCGAGTACCAATTTATTTTTTTCGGTACTCGTCGATACTGAATACTGATACCGGAATGTAATGACTCACCATCTGGCTTCCTGATTAGCCGGGAAGCCAGGCGCCATGTAAAGACTCTCCACCTGGCTACCCAATTAGCAGGGAAGCTGGATACCAGGTAATGAAGCAGCGCCCCCAGCTTCCTGATTGGCCGGGAAGCCGGCTCCATGCTTCCTTGTCACAAGTGTAATGACTCGCTGCCTGGCTTCCTGATACCGGAAGCTCAAGTACTGGGCTAGTTATCGGTGCATCCCTAACATATACTGTATATAATCGGCAACATTTTGCCCACATGAAGACATGTGGGGCAAACCAGCATAAACACAAACTGCATTGAATAGTATAGCAAGACATGCTGAGGACATCCGTTCCAACTTGTATGCAAAGAGTAATGGAGCAGTGAAGGTCTACCCAGGACCCTAGTGTAAGAAGTGGGGGACAACTGTGCCAAACATTTGAGGGATAAAACCACCCCCTAGTTTTAAGTTCTCCTGCATTTGACCTCATATTAGGTTGCTTAAACCTGGAACGTGTTGAGACTTCTTTACTTCTCATTGAACACATTACATTTACCAGCAAAGTTAAAGGAGAACTATGTGGTGAGTGCTTTTCACTCAACTCATAGTTCTAGCCGACCTGTGACCATGAGACTGTCACAGGTCGGCTCAGTAGATCGGGAGGTGAGCAAACATATACTGGCGTTCGCTCACCTCTCGATCCTGTCACGGCTCTCTGCTGGATTCCCCCCTCCCCGCTCCGCCAGCACTGACTGGCGGAACGGACGGGGGAGGGGGCGGGTACAGCTGGCTCTGCCTCTAGATAGGCAGAGCCAGCTGTCACTCACGCAGCTGGGCAGATCTCGACATCCATGTCGGGATCCGCTCCGGCTGCGGCGTCTCAGTATACCGCGAGGAGTAGCTCTCTATATACTGAGCCTAGGGTGACGAGAGGATGCTAGTTTGTGTCCTCCCGTTACCCTAAGGAGAACTATGGGGAAAAGCCCTGACCCCATAGTTCTCCTTTAAGCATTTTAATAACTGATGCAGTAAAGAACTTTGAGAAACATTTTTATTTGCTACTCGGGATGTCGTATCTAAAAAATATCCATTGCATACTAATCAGTCTCTCCGTGAATTGGGTCATGTCGCTGATGTTTGTACACTTGAATCCCATCGACCTGTACAAGCATGTGGCAGGCATCTGTAGTGTTGTGGTAGAGAGGACCACCGCCTTACTCCCTTTCTTATGGGCAAATTCAATTACTGTCCTGCACAAGACTTTAGAAATGCCTTTACCCCGGTGGCTGGAGACCACATTCATTCTTTTCAGTTCTGTGTTTTTCTCTACACTTGGTAGATAAGAGGGAACAGCAGCCACTGTCCCCACCAACTCCCCATCAGACTCCACCACCCAAAAATTGTACCCTTCCCGCTGGAGATAATATTTTGAGATGTCTTTCATGTCGTCCGCCATACATTCTGTGGCATAGCCATAGAAGAATCTTCTTCCACACAGCCAAAGCACGACCAGTACAATGACCACATCCAAGATGGCCAGAAAGATGGAGCCAACACTGAGCAGAGGGAGCAGAAACCCAAGAAGCATGAGGACCCAGTTGTGAGGTAGCTTCAAGCCATGGAAAAAAGCGGTGTAGGCGAGTTTATGACATCCTTCAATAAAGATTTTTTTGACTGCTGGAAAATCCGAGTTCTTGTACTGTCGCACAGTGAGGGATGACATTGTGTTCCTGAAACAAATACGATAGGTAATTAACATTTTTAAATGGTAAATATCAGTAATAGATAGGAAGGACCACTTGTTACTCAATGGTTTTTGATTGCCAAAAGTATTGGGACGCCTGCCCTTACAAGCACATGAACTTTAATGGCATCCCAGTCTTAGTCCGTAGGGTTCAATATTGAGTTGGCTCCGCCCTTTACATCTATAAACAGCTTCAACTCTTCTGGGAAGGCGTCCACAAGTTTTAGGAGTGTGTCTATGGGAATGTTGGACCATTTGTGAGGTCAGGTACTGATGTTGGACGAGAAGGCCGGGCTCCCCAGCCTCCGCTCTAATTCATCTCAAAGGTGTTCTATGGGGTTGAGGTCAGGACTCTGTGCGGCCAGTCAAGTTCCTCCTCCCCAAACTCCCCCATCCATGTCTTTATGCACCTTGCAATGTGCACTGGTGCGCAGTTATGTTGCAACAGGAAGGGGCCATCCCAAAACTGTTCCACAAAGTTGGGAGCATGAAATAGTCCAAAATGTCTTGGTGTGCTGATGCCTTAAGAGTTCCCTGCACTGGAAGTAAGGGGCCAAGCCCAACCCCTGAAAAACAACCCTCCCCCCTCCACCAAACTTTACACTTGGCACAATGCAGTCAGGCAAGTACCGTTCTCCTGGCAACCACCAAACCCAGACACGCCCATCGGATTGCCAGACAGAGAAGCGTGATTGGTCCCTCCAGAGACCACGTCTCCACTCCTCTAGAGTCCAGTGGTGGCTTCACACCACTGCATCCGACGCTTTGCATTGCACTTGGTGATGTAAGGCTTGAATGCAGCTGCTCGGCCATGGAAACCCATTCCATGAAGCTCTCTACGCACTGTTGTTGTGCCAATCTGAAGGCCACACAAAGTTTGGAGGTCTGTAGCTATTGACTCTGCATACAGTTGGCGACTTCTGCGCACTGTGCGCTTCAGCATGCGCTGACCCCGCTCTGTCATTTTACGTGGCCTACCACTTCCTGGCTGAGTTGCTGTTGTTCCCAGTTGCTTCCACTTTGTTATAATACCAGTAACAGGTGACCGCGGAATATTCAGTAGCCAGGAAATGTCACGGATGGACTTATTGCACAGGTGACAACCTATCACGGTACCACGCTTGTAGTCACTGAGCTCCTGAGAGTCCAGTTATTTCACAAATGTTTGTAGAAGCGTCTGCATGCCGAGGTGCGTGATTATATACACCTGTGGCCATGGAGGTGATTGGAACACCTGAATCCAATGATTTGGAGGGGCATCCCGATACTTTTGGCAATATAGTGTATATATTCCCCCCGCATGATAGGGTGAAGGTATGTAGTGCCATGCTTTCATCCCAACATCTTACCCCACCAAGGAGAAATTTTCCAAGCTAAAATTCTGTATCTTAATGACCATGTCTTTTGGCATCTTGCACAAAAGATTTTAGAAAAATTAGTTTTTTTTTTATCCAAACACTTTGCCAAATGTTCTACAGGGCCTCCCACCCCTGACACTGTAGGGACCAGGGGGATATGTCAGATTCTTCTGTCCCTTGGTGCCCTGTATTGCAAATGTGTATATTTAAATCGGATAACATGCATTACATTTTGCAGTACACTGAAGTCCTCCAAGTTGTCCTTTTTAAATTAACTTAGCTCAACCCTCCTAGCAGTGTCTCATCAGTTCATAGAAAGCTGAGCTCTTGAGTCACTGCCTGAGCTGCTTACTCACTGCTTGGAGAGGGAGCAGGAGGGAGATGATCTGCTGAGGGGGAGAGGGAACTGAGCTAGCTTTAAAGGACAAGTTTAGGGTTAATGCTGTAAACCAGGGATGTCCAAACTGCGGCCCTCCAGCTGTGGTGGAACTACAAATTCCATGAGGCTTTGCAAGATTCTCACAGACATGGAATTTGTAGTTTCACCCACAGCTGGAGGGCCGGAGCTTGGACATCCCTGCTGTAAACTTTGAGGGTTAATTCTTTCACAGTGCCTGTGTAGCGCTCACCCCCGAAGGAGCCGCTGGATGAACAGGTCCATATCTAGTCAGTCTAGGGATAGATTTCCAACTGCCCCATTAGCATTAACCGCCCTCTTCCTGTGCCCATAAATTGAAGTCCGCTCCAGTTGTGAGATGCTGGTTAAACAGTGTATTCACTTCTAATTAGGGAGAGAGGGTATAGGGTCTAGGTGCACAGGCCTCCTTAGCTCCAGACTCACCGGATTCTGTTCTTTAGGGAGTACTTCTCCACCTTTATGAAAGAACACTGACCCCACTCAGAAGCCCATGAAATCCAAGGCACTTCAAGGTCAATGATCCTGGTGCTTCCATCTTTTAGGCATTCTCCTGACTGTAAGCTTTCAAGGAAACCTCTCCTTCAGCAGCTCGGCCAACTACCACCCTCAGGCCTCGGCCTAGCCTGGGGGCAGGCTGAACAGGACCCAACCTTAGTACATGGCTGGTCCAGGCAAGAGAGCCAGCACATGGCCTCCCACAAATATATATATGTCCTTGTCAGCAGACATCACTGGCTACAAGAAGCCCAGTAACTGGCTGCTGCCCTGTACACATATCACAGTGTCACCCATTGCCTGTCCCATAATGTGACAGAGTCTCACTCCGCCCTAGCGGGTACAGACAAGGTTGGACACCTGGGATTAACCATGTGCTGACGGCTACAAACTCAGCCAGGCTGCCTACAGCCCTGGCTATCACTAAATATATAGTAAGCACTTCACAAAAGGTGACGGGCGCTACACCTGCATCTACAGAGATCAGTAAAAGCTTGTGTGTTCAGGTGCTTGCCTTACGTTCTGCTGCAAAGTCCAGTCATTTTACAACTACTGTTTCTGTTTATAAAGGTCAACAAAGTAAATTCATTTTTGGCATACTTTCTATAAAACATCAATGTGAAATGCTATACCAATTTCTTATACAGAAGCATGTCCCACTCTGTAAGTGCTCCTTAATTAACCAACTGGTGATGTTTTAATGCAGGTACAGGAGCACTGACGGTGGTGCTGCACCTTTTGTTGCAGCAGTTCCCTTGGTCACTTCCCCCCCCCCCTCCCAACCACTTTACCTCCATCCTGTTAAGCCGCCCCATTCCTGGCCACCTCTCCATCAAAGTGTTGCTCTCTGAACCACCTCAATACTGTCAAGCTACTCATCTCGCAGCAATTTCCTTTTCCCAGTTATTTGATCCTATCCCAGCACCTCTACCCTGTCAGACTGCTCGTCTCCTTTCCCCTATAGCAACTTTCAGGAATTGTTGGAACCAGGGATGCACCAATACTATTTATTCCAGGCCGAGTACCGATACTTTTCCTCCAGTACACACTGATAGCAATTACTGATGACACTAAAAATAGTTATGTGACGACAAATGTTTTTTTAAATAAAACAATACAGACTAATGATTTTAGGACAGTGGTGGAGCCCCAGGACCCAGTCGCACCCCTATTAGTTCTGCCACTGACTCCAAGCTGTAAAATGACTACAAATTTCAGCAACACATTACACAGCAATGCAGAATATTCCCAGCAATACATTATACAGCAATGCAGAATGACACTGGCGCTAGAGGACTACAAGTCCCAGTAATATGTTATACATCAATGCAGCATAATGCCATCAGCTATAGAGGACTACAAATATCAGCAATACATTTGTACAGCAATGCAGAATGATAGTATATAAATTTGCTACATACTCTTTGCTGCCGCTCTGTTCTGGGGTGCTGGCCTGATGTCTTGGGCGGAGGGTCTCAGGAGGGGGAGATGTGTGGGCCGGCAGAAGCACTGTAAACAGGTGCCGCATAGTTCCCAAGAAGTCGGTTGCAAGGTCCCCAGCAGTCGCATCAATTTGAAAATGTAAAGTGCCGGTATCGGTTTTGGTATCAGGGCAGTACAAGTACTTATGAAAATGGTCGCTATATCGGAACTCAAAAAAGAATACAGAACTCATGGGAGCTTATTTTCCTAGATTGCAATTCCTGTTTTTCCTTTTAGATAATTTCTATATACACAAGAAACAAACCTGTTTTAGTATGTTGATCGAGTCCTCTTGGTACCGTCTAGTGAGTTGAAATATAAATTGAGGCTTTCAGGAAAAAGTGGCTGCAGTCCTACACCGGGTCAAGAGCAATGCCATGGCCTGGACCTAGTCAATCCTATCTTCATCTACACATAATGGTTAAACCTCTCAGAATTATTTACCCTCCCCATATGTTTGCTGATCTCTCCTTCTTCGTTAATAATTACCTAATAATAAATCTGATCCAATTCAGGATCATGACAAAGTACTCTTTTACTAAGGTGCTATATAAATTCTTTCATGTGCAGATAGTAAGTTTTAAGATGTCATAAAAAGTGCCATTAAAGGAGAACTATGAGGGGAGTGCTTTTCACTCATCCTCATAGTTGTAGCCGACCTGTGACAATGAGACTGTCACAGGTCGGCTCAGTAGATCGGGAGGTGAGCGAACACATACCGGTGTTCGCTCACTTCTCGATCCTGTCACGGCTCTCTGCAGTGACAGGGGAGGGGCTGGATTCCCCCCTCCCCGCTCGATCCGCCAGCGCTGACTGGCGGAACGGACGGGGGCGGGTACAGCTGGCTCTGCCTCTAGATAGGCAGAGCCAGCTGTCAGTCACGCAGCTGGGCGGATCCCGGCACAATTGTCAGGATCCGCTTCAGCTGCGGCGTCTCAGTATACCGCGAGTTGTAGCTCACGGTATACTGAGCTTAAGCCTCAATTTAGGGTGACGGGAGGACACAAACTAGCATCACCGGGGCCCTCTTCCTGCTGTCCAGGCTGTGATTTGTAGTCTGCCTACAGCTTGGAGTCAGTGGTGGAGCACCCGGGCCCACTGACTCCAACCTGTAGAGGAACTAATCTCAGCAATACATCATATAACCATCCAGAATACCCCCAATTATCAATTATAGAAAACAACAAATCCCAGCAATGCAGAATAATACCATCAGCTATAGAGGACTGC